CCAAGTGCACGGGCAGTGACGGTGGGTTTCCGAGCAGCCGAGGGCGGGAGGAGCGAGGCAGGCCGGGCAGAAACCCCGGGTGCGAGCCAGGATGGCAGGAGGATGTGGCCGAGCTGGGAGACTACCTGCGGGACCTGGGAGGCCGTAACCCGGGGGGAACCTCCTGGGTCATCCAGCCTCTTACCCAGACACATGCACACGCGCATCTGGGAGCTGCCCGCGGGGACCCACGGTGCACACGCCTCCTCGACGGAGCGTTTGCAGGGGTCTCTCGACCCACCACCGTTCCTTCAAGGGGCGGGACCTGGGAGGCCGTAACCCGGGGGGAACCTCCTGGATCATCCAGCCTCTTACCCAGACACACACAGACACATGCACACGCGCATCTGGGAGCTGCCCGCGGGGACCTACGGTGCACACGCCTCCTCGACGGAGCATTTGCAGGGGTCTCTCGACCCACCACCGTTCCCTCAAGGGGTAAACAGCAAAGGTCCCTGACATGACCGCGCTCGCAGAAATGTCCTGGGTCTTCCCCCAGTTTTGCCGGCAATAGCCGTGTTGGGATCTCGCCTCTGCCGTCCTTTGCTCCCCTTCATCCTCTTCCCTCCAAACTTCCCTTCGCTCCCTGATCCCGTGGCAGAGCCTCCGAGGAACCGGCCCTTAAGCCGTTGCTTGCGTTGCGCCCATTGCAGCTCCCTTTGGTCGGTCTAGTGGAACAGGCTGACCTGGAGCTGCTAGTGCTGCCGTGCGGGGCCTGGGCGGTGATGGGATGCAGTCTAGGCACGGATTCATTCGTCCTTTATTAATTAACCCATAAGATCATTTTGCAGCCCCTCTCTGCCCATTAGGCCGCTACGGTTGGGGACTGTGCATGGAGAAGACAAGAGCATCAGTAGGTCTCCAGCCTCACATGCTCCTGGTACCCGTTGCCCAGCACCGGCAAGGAGAGACTCAGCCCATTTGCCGTGCTGGATGGTCACGAGGGCTGTGCGAAGACTCGGGGCAGCGTCCCCTCGCTAGCGACCTTCTTGGGTGCCGGCACGGCAGGGGCAGGTTTAAATCACATTAATATTCTCTTTTGTCTCGTGTGAAAAGACAATTCCTGACCTTGGAAGGAGAGCCAGGAGCGCAGAGGTGCTCAGGCTTCAGGGAAATGCCCGTGGAAGAAGCTGCTCTCTGGTTTTCCCCGTTTCAAGGTCAGACAAGAAGCGCAGGACTGCCCTGCGAGGCTGGGGAGAATCGCTGTTTGGACAGTGCGGCCTGTAGGTTCAGATAGATGTGACTGGGAAGGACTGGGATGTACTGGTTTTCTGCAGTCCCCAGGAGGACTCAGTCCCTGCTGCAGAGAAAGGGCGATGTCGCTCCTCCGTGCGGGTAAGGTGCCTTGCATCCACGCTCCTTGCTCATACCATGCGCTGGTATGGTAAGTCCCTTCCTGGTGGGACCTCCAGCCAGTCATGGTCACCAGTCCAATTGCCACAATCACTACGTGGACTTGCATGTCACAAGATTAAACTGGTGGCTGCTGTGACCTCCTCCTCCGCGCCGCCGTTGTGGAGCCCGAGGGCTGGGAACGTAGCTCTTTGGAGACGGCTCACGTGACTCCAGGAGCTGGGACTTGGAAGAAAAACGGTAGCGAAGGAGACTGGTGCTGGGTGGAGACTCCCCCGCTGTATATTCCAGGCCTGGGCAAGTCACTTCCCCCTCTCTGTGCCTCAGTTTCCCTCTCCCGCACTTCATGGTGTCCCTTGAGGTGCCTTGCTGCACAGGCCGGGAACTTGCGTGCTGCATCTGTGCAGTGCCTGGCGCTGGACGGCCCTTATTCCAGCTGCAGCCTCCTCGTGCCACCCTTTGCTGCCCGCGTGGGTGTGTGTGCACCACACCCTGTGCACGCCAGCTCATTGCAGCCGTGCAAGGAGCCTCCCTGCTGCTGCTGAGCCGTTCCCCTGCAGCTGCAGCACGTGGGTGGGGGGCATGCAGGCTCCTCTCTCTCAGTGGTCACGAACCCTGTTTATTACTCATCCCACGCTCGGGGCTGTACAAACACAGTGCCGAAAACAGCCTTGGCCCCACAAAACCGGCTTGCACCGAGATCATCTATGAATCATTAAAAGCAAACCGCCAATGGCTTCCTTCATAGATTCATAGATGTTAGGGTCGGAAGGGACCTCAATAGATCATGGAGTCCGACCCCCTGCATAGGCAGAAAAGAGTGCTGGGTCTAGATGACCCCAGCTAGATGTCTATCTAACCTCCTCTTGAAGACCCCCAGGGTAGGGGAGAGCACCACCTCCCTTGGGAGCCCGTTCCAGACCTTGGCCACTCGAACTGTGAAGAAGTTCCTCCTAATGTCCAGTCTGAATCTGCTCTCTGCTAGCTTGTGGCCATTATTTCTTGTAACCCCCGGGGGCGCCTCGGTGAATAAATACTCACCAATTCCCTTCTGTGCCCCCGTGATGAACTTATAGGCAGCCACAAGGTCGCCTCTCAACCTTCTCTTGCGGAGGCTGAAAAGGTCCAGTTTCTCTAGTCT